TGGTGTTGTAGAAGATAATGCTAAGTGAAGTTAGCCAATTCCAAAAAAAACTAAATGTGGAATATTTTCTCTGATATGAGAAGGCTGATTCATAGTGGGGTAGGGAGGGGGAGCATGGGAGGAATAGATGAATTCTAGATAGGAAATAGGGGAGGAAGGGAAAGGGAGGGGGCAGGGGGTTAGCAAGAATGGTGGAATGTGATGGACATCATAATCCAAAGTACATGAATGAAGTCACAAATTGGTGTCAACATACTTTATATATAAATAAGCAATGAAAAACTGTTTTATATGTGTAATAAAGAATTGTAATGCATTCTGTTGTCATTTAGTTTTTAAAAAATCAACAGAAAAAACTTATTTAAAAAAAGTTGAAGATGATATTCTAAATATATAAATGCAACCCTTAAGTCACCTTGGTCTGCACTGACCAGTTTTCATTGGAATGTTTCTGGGACCAGTAGGAAAATAGGGGCACAACATACTATCAGAGAGGACATTCCCACTTGAGAGTGTACCTCTTTCCCTTCCCTATGTCTTTAAATAAGCTAATACCTGATAGAGTGAGGGATGTGTCTGAAATAGTAGTTAGCAGATGCACATTAGTGACAGGAACAGGAAGTTGACATGCCAAAGATCCAGGACAACTAGGTCACTTTGGCCCATGCTGGTCTGGAATGGTTCTTACATACATTCAATCATCCTATCTCCTTGAGTTCTGGAGTCTGGTCTGTGAAAGTGTCCCAGAACTTATTCCCTCCAGGGTAACTTGTGTTCTCAAGCAGAGTAGAAATCACTTCTAACAGAAATCACAGGTTGTTGGCTGAGGAATGGAAGATTGGACATTGACTTGGCCCAGGCAGGACTCTAGGTAAATTACTTTTCTAAAAGAAAATTGGGGGTCTGTACAGAGGGCCAGGTTTATAAAATGACTCCTTGACCTGCATGATCCCATCAATCATGTCTGCATGTTACACATCTATCAGCATCAGTATGTAGCTGAGTGGTAGAGCCACCACCAGCACTAAAAATAGGCAGATAGATAAACTAAAGCAGGGATGAGCTGCACCTTTGAGAACCAATTATGTATCACCCTATAGAGTTCCATAATAATTTTGCATTTTAAAAATATAATCACTGGCTTATAAATTTACTATCCACCATTAGGCCAGTTGTTAGATATTCATGAAAAATGGAAAAAAGTAGAGACCAATACTGTGTGACCAGCAACTAGAGAAAACCTTAATTATGGGCCATAAATCATCTTTCAAAACCAGTGAACAACAAAAACAAAACAAAACAAAACCCACTATGTGTTCTGCTCAGAAAGGGAAATGCAATCTTCTGGAATGGAGGAGGAGTTTGAATGTCAAGACTTCCTGAGCTTCAAAATCTATTCTGTCCTCATTTTTAATTTTATTAATGGTGACATCTTTTCTCTCCATCTGCTTCCTCAAGAATTCAGTGTTTCCCCATCACAATACCTGTCCACCGTCCCTGTGTCCCCAGAGGTTCTGCCTGTCCTCTTTGCCACCCCAAAACTCAAGGCTCTGCTTGTCACCCCCTGCTTTCCCAGGTGCCATCTCTGACCCTGACCCTCTCCTTGCCTCTCTCTGGGCCAGATGTTATTGGAATTCCTACAATATATTTCTAAGCCTTTTCTAAACAACCTGTCCTGGGTGTTCTCCAGGGATTGGAAATACCTGCAGCCACATGCCTGGATTCTGCCCCCAAGGTCTCAAACCCTGGTATATGGGAAGGATTTGAACATGATTTGCTCATGTACCAAGTAAATGTATAGACTTTCTCCCAAGTAATGACAATAGTATAATGGTTACTTACATAGTGGTTACTTTGTACCAGTTTTTTTTTTAAAGATATTCTTAGTTGTAGATGGATACAATACCTATTTTCAATTTATTTATTTTCATGTGGTGATAAGGATCAAATCCAGTGCCTCACAAGTGCTAGGTGAGCACTCTGTAACTGAGCCCCATCCCAAGTCCTGTATCAAATTGTATTAGTGACCCAGAGATAATTTAACTTACAGGAGGATGTGAGCAGGCTGTCTGCAAACTGTATACATAAATTCATGCACTTTGCAATCCTTTGGGGATTGCTGGCCTGGAACAAATCACCCACCTATGGTGAATGAAAACTGCAAGGCATCTCCACTGCTGGACTTGGTCTTCACTTTTCTCCTCCCACAAACTTATTTTTATCTGGGTTTTCACATTTTGTCACCAAGACATTTGAAGTGGCCTTTGACTCCTTGTTCTTGGCCAGATATCCATTCTATTACTTGCAATCAACTTCATATGGATGTTTTTCTATAACTTTCTTCTCATCCAGCACTGGTACAGACACTTACTGGCTCTTGCTTTAACTGTTGGAGACTAAAAATAAATCAAAAACAACTTCTCTGACTTCTTGACTTTAACCCTTGTCATCAAAACAATTATTATTATTATCATTAAGGAAAATTAACTGAGCCATGCAGAATGGTACATGCCCATGATCCCAGCAACTTGGGAGGCTAAGGCAGGAGGATCCAGAGTTCAAAGATAGCCTCAGAAACTTAGAACTAAGTAACAAAGTGATACCCCTGTCTCTAAATAAAGTATATATTTAAAAAGGGGGGCCGGACTGGAGATGTGGCTCAGTGGTTAAGCAGCCCTGGGTTCAATCCCCGGTGCCAAATACAAATAAATAATGAGCAGAATTGACCACTGAAATTCCTTCTAAGAAGCTTTCAAACTCTCAGTCTAGTAATCGGTAGACGTTGCAAAATGTTAGCCCAGGATCACGAGAAATATGTGCTTCTGAATGTATTACATGGCATGAGAATGAGGCTTAAATTCTTTCATGGATGATGACTATAGCATTTTCCTTTTGGAGAGAACAAGGGCCTCCACTGGCTCCTCGTATTGTCCAGGGACTGATACCTCATCCCTCAGATCATGGTGCCATTGTGGCGGGGGTGGAGGGATACCTTGCATTGTCAGATGAAATCAGGTTCAATCCTGGGAGTTAGGCATGCACCACACTGCATTGGTTACATAGGAGCCATTCTTAAGGACACTTTGGCATACAACCATATACTATAGAAACATGGTTAAACTTCCTTCCTGATTGGACATTTTAGCATTAAAATGAAGTAGAATTGACTTCCTAGTCACTGGTACTTTCTCTTGAGGTTATTTGTGAAACAGGATCATCTTAAACTTATTAAACACATCTCAACTTCTTGGGTCATAGTCTCGTGGGAAATCATGTTTTCCATTAGGAGAGGGTGAAGGTGTGTCTTCTATTAATAGGCTCCAAGATGCTAACAATGCAACATGGGCACAGAGAGAATTTGGTGCATGAGTAATTGGAGAGATGTTCTCTTCTACACAAGTGGAGCACTATCATGACAGTCAGTCTATCAACAAAGATGGCAACTCGCAACTAACAGAAAGGTATTACAAAAACAGTATATCAACTGGGAAACTGCTGGAGAAGGCAGAGGCTCATGCCCTGGAGGAGTGAGGTGGGATGAGATTGCATCATGCTACTCAGAACACTTTGCAATTTAAAACTCATGAGTTTCTCATTCTGGAATTTTCTATAGCTTACAGAAAGGGAAACCACAGATAAGAGAAACTATAGTAGTCAAACTGCTGTAAAACAAATAGCAAGGGGCAATTTCATGAGTGGTCAGAGAGAAACAATTGATCAGGAACAAGACAGAATTAGTGGGTTTCTCAAGAGAATCCAAGAAGCTGGAAGGCAATGGGAGGACATAATGGAACTTGTTTCTTTTAAACAATCAATAATTTTATACCTTGCAAAACTGTGCTTCAAAAGATAAGGGGAGATTTGTACAAGGAAAGGTTTGTGGTGAGTAAACAACTCTTCAAGAAATGCCAATAAAGCCATCAAGGTTAAAGGAAATGAAAAAAAGACAGAACCTTGAGCCCATGTGAAATAATGAGAAAAAGTGGTAGATATAGCTCAGTAGCTCAATATGGTAGCTTACTGTAGCCAGTGCCATGGAGTATGTAGTTTCTAACTCTTTACTCTTTGTTTTAAAAATATAAGTGTAAAAAATTGTACTCTATATGTGTAATAAGAATTAAAATGCATTCCATTGTGGTGTATTTTAAAATATAAAATTAAATTTTTTAAAGATAAATGAGTGCAAAAGTAACACCTAGAACACAAAAATAACATAACAGTAGGATCAAACAAACATTGATGCTGAATGACTATGAGACTCCATTTTTCATTGCTATCAGAAAATACCTAAGGCTGAGCAGTTTGTGATTAGAAAGTCATTTAGGTCAGAATTTTAGAGTCTGGGAGTCCAAGATAAAGGGATGCCATCCACTTGGCTTTAGGGGAGTACGCATTTTGCTCTATTCCAGCATGGTGGCTGTCATCAGATTGGGGACAAGTGGAAGACGAAAAAATCATATGGACTAATATGAGCCATAGAGCAGAGAGGGGCAGTCTTGATTTATCATAACCACTCATTTTCTCAAAAAGTCATTCCAAGAGACTAGTGTCCATTCCTCCTGAGGGTGGTGTCCCCAATGACTAAATTAACACCAAACAGACAGCACATTTGAAAGGTTCCCCTGCCTCAGTGCTACCATAATAAGGAACAAGTGTCCAAAACATAAGCTTGTTTGGGGAAAAATGCTATCAAGCCATAGGAGACATACAATGCATGAAGTTATATTCTATGACAAAGATAAAAATAGGACTGAGGGACAAATCTGTAAGATCAGCAAAATTTTTCTATATTATTAAAACTAATTTGGCATTAATAAAAACTGATTGTCATAAATGTAAGATGTTAGAGTTCCCGGAACAGTCACTAAGGAAAAACTAAAACATGTGCCTAAAGAAAAAATAAAATAAAAATGGTACACAAGAAAAATGAATCATTAATAGGCAATAGTGGGAAAATTGATGAACCAAAAACATATAGGTAGAAAACAAGTGGCATCATAGAAGAAGCATTTTGTTCATTACTATTACTTTTTTCATTATTATTAATGCATATAGATCCAATTTGTTCCAATTTTAGAAAATATATTGATCAAGTTGGGCATGCAGCACACCTCTGTGACTCTAGAAACTCAGGAGGCTGAGGTAAGAGGATTGCAAGTTGGAGGGCAAATTTGGTGACTTATGTAGAGCCTGTCTAAATCATCATCATCTGAGCACAGTGGAACAATGCTGTAACTAAGCTACTTGTGAGACTGAGGCTAGGGTATCACAAGTTTGATGCTGGAATCTGAAACATAGCGTAACACTGTCTGAAAATAAAATACAATAATAGTAAAAAGTGGCTGGGGATGTAGCCCAGTGTTAAGGCACCATTGGGAATAAGATCTAGAACCAAACAAAATTGTTCTACTGTCTACATAAGATTCACTTTATATTCCAAAACACAGATAGAATGAGAATAAAAAGTGCTAAATAAAAATAGCAATCAAGAGCTCAGCATAGTAGTGCAGGCCTGTAATCACAGTGACTTGAGAAGCCGAGGAAAGAAGATCATGAGTTCAAAACTGCAGGTGGTAAAAATAGAGTTCCTCTTGGTGGAATGGTCTGGCTGCAAAATAAAAGCTAAGAAAGGTAAAGCAGAAAAAACTCCACAGGATACGGAAAGTAATTTTAAAAGTGGGGGTGGGATGGGCTAGCCACTCTTCATCTGTGGATGAAGCTTCCACACTCAAAAGAGCAAAATGGAGCCCATGTTTGCTTTATTTATATCAGGGAATATCAAAGGTTTTCCATGGAATATTCTTTGACAAATAAGGTAGAAGGTGGGCTTTGCTGTTCCCAATGGGTTATGCCCAACTCTGGAGCTACAAGAGGGGTCTTGCTAGTAGAGCAGATTTAGGGTCCTGTGTCTTGGGCAATCCAGTGCACTCTGGGGAGCAGTGGATAGTTCCCCAGGTTAGATCTAAATCTCCATGGCTCCATACCCAGAGAAGACCCTCAAGTAATTCACGGGTGGCACCCTGAATATTCCCCTTTTTGACTTTGCAATAGAAAATGATGAGCTGTTATTTTAAGTTTCTGGATTCTTGTCTGAGGGTGTGATAACCTATATCACAATACAAAAAAGAACTAGTAGCAGACATCTCATTCCAATAATATACCATGCAGAGTGTTTCAATGTGTTTCCAGTGTTAAAGCCATTCCATTCTTGAAGTATTTCCAGTTAGAGAAGTAGGATCCAAAGGATTGATTTTGCTTTTTTGGATATCCTGAATGTAGTGATGTAACCCCATAAGATCCAGGATATCATTATTTTCTATGCCAAATGCCCATTAGATAATTTCACCTTCTCCAAATCCCATTGGTAAGGTTTATATTTGGCTGCAGTAACACAGATCTTCATAGTCAGATGGCATTTAAGCCTTTCCTTAAACTTGAGAGCAGAAAGCTCATTACTGATATTTATGACAGAAGTTTCTAAGGCATTCAAGTTAGCTTCAATACTTTCATCAATATTTATGATTATTGAAGGCCTTGGATGTATTTTGAGTCAAATTATTAAGAAAATCTGCATGTTGAATGTTCTGAGATACAGCCACTGAGATGATAAATGTGGAGTGATGAATGAGATTAAATAAAAAATTATAACCAAGAATTATGAGTCCAAAAGCTTTCTTAAGTCTGATCACCTGAACATGCGTCTCTTGTAAAACTTGAACACCTGCATCAGCTTACCATGGCTCTGAAATTTTGGCTGGTAGTAAGACAAAGGAAGACTGGTGAAGGATTAATCTTCCCTTCCCTCTGTTATATCTAGTGATGCAATTAGGTAAATTGCACTTTTTACAGGCTACAAGATATTTATCATCCTTTCTCTTAACTCTCATATTTCCAGTAATTAAAGCAATTAAAGCATAAGGAGATTGAATACAGGCCTGAAGGCCATACCAGGAACCCTCTTTACACCCCCTGCCTACAAAGTCAGGCATAGGGTTGTCAGTGTAATACAGGAAATCAGAGACTGCAATTAAGTACCAAACATCTTTTTGGATACCACCTTCACCGTAACTTACTGAGGCCCTAACCAACTTAGCAGACCATATCTCTAAATAAAAATGATGAAAAAAAAATCTGGGGATGGAGTTTACTGATTAAAAGCCCCTAAGTTCAAATCTAAAAATTTAAAATTTAAAACTTCATATAAATCTAAGACATTTCTGAAATAATCAACTAAGAGAAATATGTTTTCTCCAGTTGTGAGAAGTGAGAATATTTAGTAATTGTTGATTTATAGTAAAATTATATCCTTTTTGGGATGCACTATTCTATATTTGTATTTCCTTATTTCTACAATATCAGCTCAAGATGTCAAGAAAATTTTCAGCAAATATCAAAAGCAATTGCCCATTTTCTACATTTAAATAATTCTTTCCCTCCTAGGGATGGGCTATAGATAAGAAAATTACAATTGTTATATTTGTCAAGGTATTTTGTAATTATTTTGCTGTTATCTAAGGTACACACTTTGGACAAATGCTACTCCACATTTGCTAGAGGTATGAGGTCAGAAATTGAAAAATGTGTGAAACTGAAAACAGTCTTGGACACATTCTTTGGGTTTCTATATGCTATAAATCCTCCAGTGTTTTAAAAATGTTTGATCAATGGCCAAAAGCTTTGCAAAAATTTTTCCACATTTCCTCTCACTCATGTGAATTCTGAGGTCCTGAGTAGGGTGTGAACAACTGTTGGAGACTATGACATCTATTTTACACTTGTATAATTTCTGTGCTACCATATGTCTGGTTTGAAATAGTGTTGAACTACTGTGAAATAAGGGTTGATTCATCCTTAAAGACACTGATGCAATGTTTTTCACTTGTAAAACTTCTCTCCAGAATAAAATCTATAATGTTTAGTAATATGTGATCTTCAATTTTAAAAGCTTTGCCGTTCTTCACATTTTAAGACTTCTCTCTAGTATGGGTTCTCTAGTGTCAAGTAAGTGATGATTGTTGATTAAAATCTTTGCCACATTCTCTACATTTGTAGGGCTTTTCTCCAGTATGAATCCTGTTGTGGTCATCAAGATATGACTTTCTTTTAAAAGCTTTGCCACATCCTTTACATTTGTAGGGCTTCTCTCCAGTATGAATCCTGTTGTGGCGATCAAGCTGTGTGTTTGTAGTAAAACTCATGCCACACAGTTAACATTTGTAGGGCTTCTCTCCAGTATGAATCCTGTTGTGGCAATCAAGATGTGTGTTTGTAGTAGTAAAACTTTCGCCACACACTTTACAATTGTAGGGCTTCTCTCCAGTGTGGATTCTCTGGTGCCGATTAAGTGATGGTTTTTGATGAAAACTTTTGCCACATATGTTACAGTTGTAGGGCTTCTCTCCAGTGTGGAGTCGCTGGTGCTGAGTAAGTGATGATTTTTGATTAAAACTCTTGCCACATTCTCTACATATGTAGGGCTTCTCTCCAGTATGAATCCTGTTGTGGCGATGAAGATGTGACTTTCTTTTAAAAGCTTTGCCACATTCTTTACAGTTGTAGGGCTTTTCTCCAGTATGAATCCTGTTGTGGCCCTCAAGGTGTGACTTTATTCTAAAAGCTTTGCCACATACATTACAGGTGTAGGGTTTCTCTCCAGTGTGGATTCGCTGGTGCACAGTAAATGATGATTTATGATTAAAACTCTTGCCACACACTTTACATTTGTAGATCTTTCCAGTATGAATTCTCTGGTGATTTTTAAGGCTTGGATTTTGACTAAAAGCTTCACAAATTTGTTTACATATGTGGGGCATCTCTAGAGGGTATGTGCACTGGTGACAAATAAGATTGGAGCTTTTATTAGTTTTGTCACATTCTTTGCATTTGCATGGCGTATCTCCTGTATGAACACTGTGATGTTGACTAAAGTTCTTGAGTGTGTTGCATTCTTCACATTGGTAGGTCTTCTCTGCAGAATAAATTTTTTGATGTTGAGTAAAAGTTGAAAAATTTTTAAAGGCTTTGCAACACTTTTTACATTTACAGGACTTTTCTTCAGTAAAAATGTTCTGATGCTTACAAATTGTAACCGAATTTCACTAAAAGTTTTTCTGCATTCTTTAAATTTGGTTTGTCACTGTCATCATATCTACTGTGTTTAGAATTTGTTGAGCAAGCCAATGCTTTGATATATTCCTTAAACTTATAGGGCTCCCTTTCTCTATAAATTCTCTCGTATTGAGCAAGCTCTGCACTGTGATTAAGAGCCCTTTCACATGCCTTACACTTGCAAGTTTTGTCTTGACTATGAATATTTGGATGAGTAATAGTTTTTGAGCACTGAAGCAAGACTTTCCCACATTTTTCATCATGGTAAATTTCCTTTAGAAAATGACTAGGAGTTTCTCTATATTCATAATTTTTATCACCAATGTAAATATACTGGTAATTACTCACGGTACATACATGGCTAATGGTGTTACTTATAGCACTTTCCAGAAATCTATCATAATTGTCATTGAGCAATAGTGGGGAAGTAGAAACCTTTCTACAATTCTTAACATTGTCCATTTGTGAACAAGGAGAAATTACTGTTTTGTTGCAGAAAAATGGACATTTTGTAAAGAAACTCTCAAAAGTATCACTTTTAGAAACGTGTCTTTCAGTTTCAAATATCTTTTCTGTGCAAATATTTGACTGGAAGTTTAACTCAGTGCTACATTTATAATTGGCTAAGATAAAAACTTATGCATGGATCAGATTTCTTTTCAAATTTTCCACATTTCCTTTTGGAAAATGGCTGTGGATATATTCTTAAAGACATACACAGCTCCTCAAAAGTAAGTGGAATGGATTGAATTTTTTTCAGATATTGTTTCTGGTGTCTTGTGACCATAAATAGGGACTACTAATTGGTTTTTTCCATTATAATACAATTTTTGAACTTTACTCTCACCTATATTTTCCCATTGTTTTCTTAGTGGTAAATAATCTAGGGCCGACTTTCCATATCTTCCCTCTCCCTCTTTTATTCTTTGCTCTGGTGAAATTTCTTGAGGACGATGAGAAGTCATGGCTGAAATAAATAAAAATAACAATCATGTTTACTTGCTGTACTGGGCTGATTATATTTTGCAAACATAGGAATTTACAGCAATAAAGGAACATCAGCAGGGGAGTGGATTATTAAATCCAAGTCCATCGTTACTGCAGAAATATATAAATCAAATAAAAATGTACACAGAAAATTACTTTGAAAACTTTCCAAATCATCTTAGTGTTCATAGTATCCAAGATGAGTACCTTACTATGGAGAGTTATATTGTAGAAGACGACAAATTGTGTTTTATAAGCCTTTCCTCCTTCACAATATATTTCTTCTGTTTCATTAAAAAAAAATAAGAAACATGAATATTTGGAGATTGTTCAAAAAGGGGTTCCTGCTGACCAACAGAAAAAAATGGCAAAATCAACTGTAAGAAAAGTAAAAGTTATTAATTACTCAGGGGAATATTAAATTATCATTTAAAAGAAGTTTACTGTACTAAACCAACACACAAAAAACAGAATAAAATTTAGTAAAGAATTGTTAATAAGCAGAAAATGTGTGTTTAAAGACTTTGTTTAGAAAATGTCTGAAAGAGTCAGGGGTGGTTTTACATAGCAACATAGGAGGTTGAGTCAGAGGATCAAAATTTCAAGGCAGTCAAAGTAAAAATGCAAAGTGGTAAAGTGCCCTTAAGTTCTCTTTCCAGTACTAATAAAAACATCTCATAAAATAGGAAAAATAAAACATCCAAGCAGCTCAATTATCTCCAAGTTGTAAAGACTCAAAGCAGGTTTTTAATCCAAGTTTTAAAACTCAGAATATCGAGAGCATCCAAGAGAAAAAGATGGGTCACCTAGAAATGGGTAACTATATAATTTTTAAATCCTTAGTCAAAACTTCACAAGAGAGCTATTTTCAAGGCATGAAAGAATAAAATTATCAATGAAGACATTATATTCAAAACTGCTATCTTTCAAAAGAGAAGGGAAATAAAGACTTTAAAGAGATAAAAATGAA